GCGGGGCATAGAGGAGAAACAATAATGTACAGTATGTGGAAAATAATGTGTTTTTTTTACTTTAAACCGCATAAACACATTTCATTACACCAAATACACAAAATAATGTTCTTTTTAGCAGCATCATATGACCCCTTTAAGCAATTCTATGGTATTTGGCACATTTGTGTTTTGTTTTGTTCTAAGTATGTTTTTAGAAAAAATTTGTGTTTTTTAATTTGTTTCATTTTAAGCTATTCTATGTTATTAGACATATTTGTGTTTTGTTTTAAGCTATTCTGTGGTATTTGGCATCTTTGTGTTTTGTTTTAATCTATCTATTTTATTTGGCATCTTTGTGTTTTGTTTTAAGCTAATCTATGTTATTAGACATCTTTGTGTTTTGTTTTGTTTTGTTTTAAGCTATTCTGTGGTGTTTGGCATCTTTGTGTTTGGTTTTGTTTTAAGCTATCTATGTTATTTGGCATCTTTGTGTTTTGTTTTAAGCTAATCTATGTTATTAGACATCTTTGTGTTTTGTTTTGTTTTGTTTTGTTTTAAGCTATTCTGTGGTGTTTGGCATCTTTGTGTTTTGTTTTAAGCTATTCTATGTTATTAGACATCTTTGCGTTTTGTTTTGCTTTGTTTTAAGTTATTGTATGTTATTAGACACATTTTTGATTTTGTTTTGTTTTGTTAAGCTATTCTATGGTACTTGGTGTCTTTGTGTTTTGTTTTGAGATATATCAAATAACAACAACTATGTACTGTACTGTACAAACAACAACAACAGCAAAGGGGGAATATAACTAAGAACTCCAATAAGCTTGAGCTATAAAAGAGTAACATCTAAATAATAAACATTAGAAAATATAGTTCCCTTTCAGTCGGTCACTCTCGACGTCACGATCTATTTTATTTCAGTTAGTTGACAAAGCAACATTACAATTAGTTTTTTAGTTTAAGTGCATTTTTTAGGTTGACCATAGTTAACTTCAATTAGTTTTGATTAATGAGAAGAACGTCTCGGTTACTTATGGTAACCCTCGTTCCCTGAAGGAGGGAACGGAGACGTCACATTCCGTCGCCACAGCTCCTGTATCACCGCTGAGCGGCCGGGTCACCGGGTCGGCTCCTCAGCGAAAACCTGAATATGCGGTGCATCTGCTGCCTACTTATACTCACGCTGTGATCAGCGGCAGCTGGATGCAATAATCGCGTGCCAATGTGCATTGGCTCGTTTAGTTTACACTCGAAGTAGATTGGTCTCTCTAAGCGAGATCCCAATTTCGTCGGTCATCCGACGTGACGTCTCCGTTCCCTCCTTCAGGGAACGAGGGTTACCATACGTAACCGAGACGTTTTCTTTATTTTTATTTTTCATGTATTTATTAAATTTTTTGCCAGATTCAGAACAGCAGGCCTGAGGTCATAACAGGTATTGATTTACACTCTTCACCTATTAGATAGGTAATATTTCCTTGAGGACATGCTTTTCCCATAATTCACTGTCCCGCAGGCTGGTGCTAATGGCACAAAGGGCTGCACACTAATCATTCTCTCCTTATACCATGACCTTTCTAACACAACAAGCCACCACTGCACATGAGTGAACAACACATATTACAAGTACAGAGTCAAGGGAACACAGTAAAGTAAAGGGACAGAGTAAAGGGACACAGTACTAGACCGACAGAGCTCTCGTTCCACTCAAAGCAATAAGACAAGTAATACACATCCATATAATTATAGGTTGAGATCAGTATTTAAAGCCTTAAATGCTTCTCCTACACTGTAAAAAATTGCTGTAAAAAAACGGCCAAAATCTGATGAATCTTCAATCTAATTATTTCTATCCATTATTTTATGCCTTTGTACAATAAAGAGTGAATTTAAAGTAACCATAATGATGTTGTAAATTGAAATAATCACAGAAATGTACTGCATTTAATTTTTACAGAAAAAAGCTGTTAAATAATTCACAGTATGAATACTGTAGAATTACAGTAGATTGCTGGCGACTCTGCTGCCAGTATTTTACTGTAAATTAAAAAAAAAAACAGAATTATACTGTATTTCATTTTTACGGTAATAAACTGTAAAATCATTTCACAGTATGAATACTGTAAAATTACAGTAGATTGCTGGCGACTCTGCTGCCAGCACATTACCGTTTTTTTACGGAACAATTTTTTACAGTGTAGACATAACAGAGTTCAAACTGAGATTTTCCTCAGGTAATGCAAAATGATTCCATGTCTCTCTACAGTTTGAAAAACTGCTAAATAAGATATGAACTGTCAACTTGCTACAGTGTTAAAAAAAATACACTGCAATATCTTAGAAAACTTTTTTTTTTTTTTAAGATGTCATAATACTGCCTATGTTGTTATTGCGATTATTCGTCTTTTATCTCAATGTGAGTAATGCAGCTTACAGAATTGATTTCCAATAGTAAAACATCATATCTAATAAACCTCTTATTTTTTAGCCCCAGGGCTTCCTCCATCTATAACATTATGAAATGATTACTGTCTTTGGCTCCTATCTCCAATTTCTGGCTCCAAAAAAGCAGATATGGCAGCACAATCAAGTTTGCTTTGAATTTATCTGCCAGAAAATTGTGTCAAATTAATGATTGGTCTGTCTTAGAGCTCTTAAATGTTGTCTAACAGATATCCCAGATGGTTTCATCCAGCATTTCTATGTTGGTTTAAAGGCCTCTGCAGTCACATCAGACACTGTTTGTTTGCAGCAGTGCTGTTTCTCTTATAGTCTTGCCATGACTCATGCTTGCCTTGATGTATAGGACGGAGTGAATTGTCCCTCCCAATCATGCGCCCGACTTTAGTTCTTGTTGTTTGTTTGTTTTTATGCAATGCTGGAATGAATTTAATATGACACGCTGGTAAATGAGGCACTACAGGGTTTCTGTTAGAGAACTCTTGAATCATGTAGGTGATGTTGAACTTTAAATAATTGATCATTAGAGCATTAAATATGGACAAGTGCAAAGTTTATGAAATTAATGAACACAATATGTAAGCCACTGAAACATTGACACTTATCACAACATGTAAATAAACATACTGTAAGGTTCATTATTACCATATGCCACCCACTGTGTATTTCAACAAACATATTGCAACATCACATTATATAATAGGCACTTATAGATCAAATAAACTCTCATAAATAGCACATTTCACACTCTCATTAGCTTAAATAATTGGTCCACTAACAATGTCCAACAATGCATTACACAGGACAATAAATTAATTATGTATCCTAAATATTTTCTGTACTTCTTGCATAAATTAAGAAAATGACAGCTTGACAGGAAATGACACACAACATACATTTTGTAATAATAAATACAAATACTTGTAAATAATTGTAAAAATAAATACATACATACATAAAACAGTCAAATGCTTGCATAAATAAATAAACAAATAGGCATACAAATAATTCCCTCCCTAGCTAACTAACTGAAGAAACAAACAAACAGACAGATAGATAGATAGATAGATAGATAGATAGATAGATAGATAGACAGACAGACAGACAGACAGACAGACAGACAGACAGACAGAC